ATATACACACATACATAAATACATAGAGACATGTATATGTACATATGTATATATGTATAAGTAAAATAGTTTTGTGTGTATATATATATATATATATATATATATATATATTTACATACATACATATACATATATATATATATATATATATATATATATTTACATACATACATATACACATATATGCACATACATACATACATACATACATACATACACACACACACACATATATACACATATATATAAATATAAACAAATCCTGCACAAAGAAATTTCCAAGTCTGACCTCCAGCTACAGTTTTTATCATCTACCATTAACCTGTTGCTCTCTGACACCCTGAAGATCGAGCTGTATCTGAAGCTTAAAAAGGAACAAAGTCCTAATACACCACAGCTTTTCAATAAAGAGTGGGAGAATGACCACCCGATGAGGGGAACGCTGGGCCCGGTTTGGTGCAAAACACAGATGGAAGCTCAGCAGCAGGTGAGAGCGTGTGTCAAGAAGCAAATAAATATGTTTGTGTGTGCAGAGAAAGTGAGATCAAAGGTGAAAGGTCGAGTCCCACCTAATAGCTGCAACCTCACCATCACCAGCGCGGAGGAAACGTGCATCAACAGGATTCTTGTCAAACGCAAAATACCTACAGTTAATAATCCTATAGATTTTCCCCTGCCATTTTTATTTGTGAATCCTTTTACTCCGACATTCGAGGATGGCTGGAATGATAACTGAGCAATGCTAGAGATTGATAAAACAGATTAAATCTAAATTCTTTGCGGCATCCAAGGCCTTTCGTTAATACAATCCACCTGCCAGAGGAAATTTGGATGGTTTATAGCACTCTTCAAATAAAATAAAAAATAACTTCAGAATGAGATCCATGCAAAAAGATCTAAAAAATGCTAAAGCCAATTTTTTTTGTCTTAAAAATAGAATAAAATCTAAAAACAGTCACCAGTCATGCAGTCTGCACTACATACAGTTTTATATAAATAACCAGAGAGGGGAAAAAAATACTTTTTACAGCAGAAAAGTCACATTTTGAACGATTTAATAATTAAAATAAAAGTTCAGACTTACCATAGACGCTGCTGCTGCTGATCATGACGTGCTGTTAAAAAAAGGAAAGCAGTGGAATCAATCATAAGGTAAAAACAAAGCATGCTGATATGAAATAACAACATATATATTTATATATATTTCTGCACTATGTGAGGCGTGCCCCATTGCAACCCAATAGGAGAGGCATCTAACCTACATGCATGTGATTAGAAAGTGGAACAGGTAAAGGAAAAGATAAATTAATCAGGTGTTGAGGCGCAGCTTGGAGTTAAATCTGCTTTCTATGGATGCAACTAGTTGTGACCGTGTCGCAGCAGCCTGGAGTCCGCTTTAGCCTCACACAACTTGGGGATATTTGTTCCTCTTTTAGCCCGGTGTGCGTAAGCAGCGCAGCCGATACGCACACACAGAACACGGCCAGCGAGTCTAGACGTGTCCGTCCTCTCCTTTAGCCGCAGGTGAACCCGTTTAACAAAAGGCACAAATAAAAATAAAAACATTTAGCGCGCCTGAAGCGCACGGAAACTTCTTAAAATAGCTTAAAGCACGTGCATTATTCCGAATTAAGTCGCGTGCGCACGATAATGCTTCTCAATTGACGCGCGCGCGCTCCTCTGCAGCCGCAGCGGATGCCCAGCCGGACCGTCCTCTCTTACCTGTGTGTTTTCCTCCTTTTTTTATTTTTATAAATATATACTTTTAATATAATTCAGCGACAAGTTGACCCCCTCAAGCAGGGGTGAGTTGGGGTCGCATCGATCCCGAGGAGGGGCTTCTGTCGGGTGTCGAGGTTAAGCCGGGCTGCGCACGAGCTGAAACCATCCCAAGTTAACGCAGGAAACACTGACCACAGCCACTGCCATGTTGGAATTTCACCAGCCCTGAACAGCTGCTTCCCAGACTGACCAGTGCGCTGCCCAGTGCGCATGCGCACACAGCAGCAAAGGGAGAGAGGGAGAGAGAGAGAGAGGAGGGAGGGGGGACTAATAATGAGTGGCTGTCAAACCAAAACCAAAAGCGTAACAATTGCAGATCTGTGAGGTAAAACAGATCTAAGGAGCATTTATGATACTGTAAAGATGTTTTTTAATTATTTTATTATATAATTAAGAATAATATCATTAAAAAATATATTTAATAATATCTATATTATAATAAAAAAATAGAAAAAGAATTAAAAAATAACAAAAAAAACTAAAGATTTTTTAAGAGATTAAATTTTACATTTTATTTCAGTATAATATGAGAAAAAAAGTCAGAATTCTGACTTTAATCCCAGAATTCTGAGGAAAAAGTACAGAATTCTGACTTTAATCCCAGAATTCTGACTTTTTTCCCAGAATTCTGACTTTAATCCCAGAATTTTCAATCTTAATGTAGATGGGTACCATAAAGGAAGAGATGTGGGAGCACTCAGCTTCACTGGCAAAGTTGTGAGTTGTTTTGGAGGGCCAGTGAGACAATGGTGAAAAATGACGAAATTAGGCGACTTTTTACGTGCCTGAGGGGTCCCTGATGATGCTATTTCATTAATGGAAGAGCAGGAGGTGATCAAACAAGAGAGCTAGTTTAGTCTTTAAAACAGACATGGCTATGGCTTGATGCTTGTTAGCTGTCAGAATTCAGTCAAAATTCTGAGAAAAAATTCAGAATTTTGAGATTTAAGTCAGAATTCTGAGAAAAAAAAGACAGAATTCTGAGATTAAAGTCAGAATTCTGAGAAAAAAAG